CGCGAGGCGCCCCCCAGGGACTCTTAAAGAGACACGCACACTCGGCCCCCAGGACTCCCCCAGGGGCGCCGGTTCCTGGGAAGAAGAAGGAGGGGTAGACCCAGGCGGGGGAGGGGCCGAGCGGGCGCTGGACGCCGCACGGCGCCGCTCCGGGACCGCCTGGGCCTCCCCAGCGCGGGTTTTCGATGAGCCAAGGATATTCCTAGCTGGGGAGTTTGGCTGAGGGGATCGATACAGAATCGTGAGAGTAGCCTGCAGCAGGACCTTGGGGTGACTGCGAGACGACGGGGCGGAGCAGACGGCGGGATCCCGGCCGGCCGGAAAGAGCCTGTGACCGCCGGAGGGCAGGTCCGCAGCTCCGTAGGTGAGGTTGCGGTCCCCAAATGCAGCCGCTGCACCGTCGCCTCCGGGTTTCTTGGGCAAATAACCCAGGCCTCCGTGTTTCTAGACCAGCTATGTATTCTCTCCAGGAAAAGGTCCAAAATGTACACACTAAGATGTACATACATTCTTACAAGTACGAAAGTATATGTACACACACACACACACACACACACACACACACACACACACACACACACACACGACTTTGCAAATGTATTCACGGATTCCCAGGCCCGTACCTGGATTCCCGATTTAGGAAAGCTGCCCTATTACCTGGTCACTTCACCCACCGACTGTGCAAACGTGTCCACACACGTCCCTCCGCAAGGGGCCACATCCTGCCTAAGGTGGAGCCGGCAGGTCTTTGCCTGTGCAAAACTGCAATGGATCCTGCCCCGACTGCGTAGACTGCGCAGCGCGGTGTCGAAGATTCGTTTGGGGCAGAGCAGACGTACTAAGTAGAGCGACCCAGCCAAGAGCGAGGTCATGAAGAAAACCCTGTGGGGGCGGCGCCCACATGTGTACGCAGCGATGAGGAGTTGCGAGAGCCCTGGGGCCAGCTATGAAGTAGAAAAAGGTCGTGGAGGCCAAACCTCTCCTGCCGGCCCGAACCCGCACTGCCGGGGGCGATCCGGCCTTTACACGCCAGCGACCCGGAGCTCTGCGAACTGGTGTGAACAGCGGGCGGGCAGGCTGCCCGGGTCACTGTAGGATGTGGGATGTTCGTGCCCACCACACGGGCATGGGGCCTGTGCGGGCCGAACTCACCGCACTTGCACTGGTTGTGCGGGTGGGAGTGTCAACCGTGGCCAGTGCAAGCTCCATCTTGTCCTTTAGAACGCGACCTCTAGGAATCAGCCCGAGCGTCCGCGCCCTAGTCCGACTCGAGGCAGGTTTGTGGTCGCTTCCCTCTCCTCGCACACACCTTGAGTTACGCTCTCACCGCGCACAGAGGGCAGCACACTGAGCGCGACACACACACACGCACAGCGGGGGCGGGGGGCGGGATACTGGGCCGCCGGGAAACGGAAGACGAAGACTGGTCGCGGAGAGTGGGGGGTCCAACCACAGGTGCTCGCAGACACCCCGATTTTCCCACACGTGTTACCCACACTCCTGAACTTGGGACGTGCGCTTCCCAGAGACGGAAACAAACTCTAGCAAGGTGGCTGGGAGCAGAAAGAGGATGCGGGTGTTTAGGATGAATGAGACATGCACCTCCGGTACCGGATGCGGCGAAAATTCGCTCGATTGCGGGTGGAGAATCCGGAGTCCGGGGTCAGCCCGCGCGGCGCCGCTCGGTGCTCCGCAGAAGGTGCGCTCACCTTCCTGCCTCCGAGGACCCGCTCTCCTGGCCGCCGGAGAGCTCAGGGCTGGGTCGCGGACACAGGCGGACATTAGGCTGAGTCCAGGGCCTGCAGGAAACTCCAGGTTCCTCCTGAATCTTCCTGAGGGGCGGCGCGGGCTAGAGGGTCCCCGCGTTTCCCCAGCGCAAGGCTGCGTCCCGCTCCCGCCCATGCCAACCCCAGTAGGGCTCTGCCATGGCTCCACTCACCGGCTCCCGCCACCTGGGTTTCGCTCCCGGACCTCGGCCTCCCGAGCCTCCCGATTCGTCCGCAGCCTCCCTCCGGAGCGCAGGGACCCCGGGCGGCGCCGGGAGCCGGGTGGGAGGCCAGCTGGGGAGCGGGCCAGAGCGACCGGGCCCCCGGGCGCTGGAGGAGGGCGCCCCCTCTCCTCGGGGCCGTGTCAATGCTTTGCACTTGGGGCCGGCGTGCGGCTGCGGGTCCTTCCCCAAAGCCCTGGGACCCGGGCGTCCCCAGCCGCGGGCCCTTTCGGCGGGTCAGGTCGGCCCTCGGCGCTTTCCAGTCCCCGCGCAGGGAGCCGCGGGCGCGGGCGGCGGGGTGGGGGCCGGGGCAAGGGGAGGGGTCTTGGGGCCCGTCGGCCCGTCATTGGTTAATATTTTATTCTGTTGACATGTTTTCTTACTGCTGAGGCTTCCGACACCTTCTCCCCGGCCCCCCCCTCCCGGCCAGAGCTTGGCCTGAGCTGTCAAAACCCCGCCCCCGGAGACCCACAATTGGTCCAAAAAGCGTAAAATCAGCAATCAAGGGGGGCCTGGTTCGTTAGCGCAGGGGATCCGAGCAGGGCAGGACATGTGAGATAGTCACAGTTTTCCAGAGATCACGACAAGATCTAACCAGTCGCGCGTGGTCCCCGGCGCCGGAGCGGGCCAGCCCAGCCCAGCCCAGCCGGGC